CACTCGGGCAATCCTCCTGTTTGCAGTCTCTGTCCCAGAGGGGAGCTCTGCTGGGACAGAACGACCTGCTGCAGGTGCCCAGGCTGCCCCATGGATGCAGACCCTGAGCCCCCCCCACACCCTCAGAGAGCAGGTGAGAGACGGGGCGTGTCCATGCGGAGAGGACAATCACACACCTTCACACTCTGTCCCTTCTGCATCACGGACCCTCCCTCCAGTCATAATATAGACCTGGGCGCCTGGACCATGTGACAAGAGGGGAAATCCCAGGGACTCTTCTATGTCCTGGTGACAGGATCCGGTAGGAAGAGGCTGGTATCACCCTCCCCCCAAGTACTATGGCCATTCTCCTCCCAAGATCTTGGGTGCACATGCACACGTGCCTGGAGTGAGTTTCAAGCCACCAGGTTGAGGGCTTAAACTGTGGTCAGCCTTGTGGGAGTCCAGTGACAAATCTGCTATGCCATCTGTTGGCCCAAGAATTAGTGATTTTTGAATGTGAGAAGCTTTGCTGAGGCAGTGCTCCCCAGAGAGTAGAAAAAATACCATAAGGCATGTCAGTCCTCCACATTAGCCAAAAATCTTTAGGAGTTAGTTCTCAAGTGAGGGTGCAGCAGAGCTGTGGGGTGCTCCACGTCCTGAGGTCGGGCAGGCCCAGCAGGGATCCCTGGCAGGTGGAGGTGGTGCATCTACGATGGAGCAAGAGCAGGGCCCGGGGCTCAGGAACCTGCACCAGCAGAGGCCACACAGCTCTGTCTCTATCTCTCTACACCAGCAAGTCCCCTGGGTTTGTACTGATATCCAAGCAGTGGAGACTGGACCTGGTGCACCTAGTAGCAACAACATCCCTCTGATCTGAAATACCACAGGTCTTCTGTCTAAGTGTCACACTCCTTGATGTCCAAGGTGTCCCCTGGAACTGTTGAAGTGTGTGAGCAGTCAGGATGTCATGTTCCCACCCTCACATTTAGGTGAGGGTTGACTGGAGCTGGCATTTCTCATCCAGGATTACTAGGAGCATGAACCCTGGAAAAATGTTTGTGTAGCGTTCCACACATAAGCACAACGTTCCCCGCCGCAGTAGAACCCGACTGAGCACAGTAGGCCCACGCGGGGATGCGCAATGAGGTTCTGAGTGCTCTGTACCACTGTGTCCCTGCTGCTTTGTGACCTCGAGCTTTGGGTGCTGTAGGCCTGAGGTCACTGTGGAGTCTGTTTTAGATTGAGACCTTCCGGACGAAGGCCCTTTACAGTTATCGAGCCCTGACCTGCACAGAGGGACAGACGGTGGCTCAGGACGTCTCAAGCTACTCACGAACACACGTGGATGAGGTCTCTGGACGAATAGGAGGTTCAGACCCCTGTCTTTCTGAAGGTGGAGTTTCCAGCCCTGCTCTCTGCTGCCCATGCAGCACACGTATGTGCACCTCAGAAACCTGGATCTCACGGAGCAGAAGTGAGTTAGCTCCACACTGGGCGCGTGTGCATGAGTGCCCAAGATCCCAAGAGGAGAATGGAGAAGAAGGGATTGCAGCGTGACCATCCCCCCTGGGGAGTGATTTCTCGCTTTGTGTCTCTCTGTCTCTGTCTGTCTGGCGAGCGCACGCGCCCTATAGTGAAAATCTCTCCAAAAAAAAAAAAAAAGTGAGTTAGCTCGTAATGTTCTCCCATGTTTTCTGGCATCTTCTCCTCGGTTCCATCCCAGGCTCTTCCCCCCTGGACTGTATGAATCTGTAATCTACAAACATGTCTTCCAGCTCTATTAGTAATATTTTCTATTTTTTAGAGGATTTTTCTTTATGGCACTTGCACTTGAGGGAGAGAGAGACAGAGACAGTGAGAAGGACAGTGAGAAATCACCCTCCCCCCAAGTATAATGGCCATTCTCCTCCCAAGATCTTGGGTACACAGGCACACATGCCTGGCCTGAGTTTCAAGTCACCAGGTCCAGGGCTTAAACTGCAGTCAGCCTTGGGGGAGTCCAGTAACAAACTGCTATGCCATCTGCAGGTCCAAGGATTAGTGATTTTTGAACGTGCAAACAGTTGAGAAACAGTCTCATTGTTGACATTTTCTGGCCCATGAACCAGTGAGTACATCTCTGCATGGCCCTAAGTCTAAGTGTCAGAGTTTACGGACTGAAATGGAAACTAGAACGTTGAAAAACCACAGAATAAAAGGGGGTCCTGATCCGTGTCCTGCTGCCTCACTGCTATGAGGGCAGCTCAGGGAGTCCCAGGGTACAGGGCTCCTCCCTGGAGACAAGCTCTGGACAATGACGGCCTCTCCTGCCCTTTGATCACCACCTGGAAAAGTCTGTGCAGCTCAACGGAATCCAAGTCCCCCCAAGGGCACCTGGAACCTCCTCCAGGGTGGCTCTGACTTCGGGTGTCACGAGGAACCAGGGCATTTCAAAGATGGAAATAACGCGGCGTCCATGACGCAAACAGAAGAGAATGAGATCAGGGTACGGTAACAGAAATCACTCCCTGGAAACCGCAAATACGAAGCATTTGAAAGCACATTTCTAAATAGCACGGGGGTCAGGGAGGAAAGCAATGCGAACTTGGGAAGTCCCTGGAGGTGAATGAAGACAAACATGTCAGCCTCCCTGGCTGCCACAGACAGTGCTGCGAGGGTGGTTCATCACAGACAGGCATGTTCACGTGCTCACACCCAACATATTTATACTTACATATTACTTATCATAATTATTATAGACCCTCATTATGGCAGAAAGGGGTCAGGGAGGAAAGCAATGCGAACTTGGGAAGTCCCTGGAGGTGAATGAAGACAAACATGTCAGCCTCCCTGGCTGCCACAGACAGTGCTGCGAGGGTGGTTCATCACAGACAGGCATGTTCACGTGCTCACACCCAACATATTTATACTTACATATTACTTATCATAATTATTATAGACCCTCATTATGGCAGAAAAGGATTCTGAGAATTCCTGGACAGGACACCAACCTTATAGGAGGAGCTCGACTAGCCTCTGCTGTCCCCATGTTCTCGCTGACACGCCCTCCTGTGCCCCCTGCCCTGGAGGGAGCAGAAGGAGCATCCCCACCTCTGCCCACAGAGCTCAGGGGCCACAGAAGAGAGGCTGTGACAATAGGGGCTAGGAGTCTTGGGAGGGAGGAGGAGAGGGGGCAGGAGCAGGAGGCAGGGCAGGGAGGCTCAGGGCAGCTCTGAGCTAAGTCTTGGGTGCTGGGCTCCTCCCACTGCTGTCTGGGAGTGTGGGGAAGTCATGTCACCTCCCATGGTGTTCCCTGGACATAGACGGGAGGAGAGATGGTGCCTGAAGCTCAGGGCTGCTGGGGTTACTGGGAAGGCCTGGCTGAGGCGGTTCCTGTAAAACACTCAGCAAACTGCCCAGATTGTGTGGGCGGGACTGAAGCAGTCCTGGTGCAGGAAGTAGGGACACATGTAGGTGACAGGAGTCCTGTGGACACGAGGGGGCACTGTGGGCCTTGGTTTGGGGACCCTGATACCCCTACTGCCCTGGAGGAGCTCAGTGCAGAGGGCATGACTGAGGTTCCCCTGAGGCCCTTCTGTGGGTGAATCCACTCTCCACTGACACCACCTGGCCTTCCTCTGACATCAGGAGTGAGTGCAGAGACCTCACCACACACAGCATGAGGGCTTAGTGACATTTCATTGCATATAGAAACTTGCTGGGAGGAGAATTTAGGTCCTCTCTCCACCAACAAAAAAAGCAAAGGAAAATTTAAAAAAAAAAAGGAAGGAAATAAATTAAGAGAAAGGATGTGAATACAGCAATGTGTCATTTACAGCATCTCCCTGGGTACACAACCTCAACATACACCAATTTAAAAAATAAAATTTACAAGTCTTAGCCACAGTGGGACAGACCACTGAGATGCTGAGCTCTGAAGGCCGGGTCCACCCGTGAGAGGTGGATTCGATTCAGGTAGACTTGCGGCCGGGCGTGTTGGAGCATCGGAGTAATGCCAGGGAGTCAGGAAGCAGAGCGGGGCGTCACTAGCTTGAGCCTGCCCTCAGCAACATGGGGAGACCCTGTCTGAAAAGCAAGCCTGGGCCTCGTGTCCACCTTGGGGGGGATGCGGAGGAATGAGGGGTACAACATGGGGAGACTCAATCTTAAAAACTAATAAAGTTAAAGGGTTTTTTGTTTGTTTGTTTGTTTTTAAGAGTTTTTTATTTGCTACAGGTCACGTGTGCTTGCCAGACAGACAGAGAGAGACAGAAAGCGAGAAATCACCCCCCAGGGGGGATGGCCACGCCGCAATCCCTTCTCCTTCATTCTCCTCTCGGGATCTTGGGCACACATGCACACGCGCCCGGCATGAGTTTAAGCCACCAGTTTTAAGCCATTTGATCCGGGACTTGAGCCACAGTCGACTACGTGGGAGTCCAGCAACATAGCCATTACGTTAACTGCTGGTCCCAAAGTGAAAGGGTTTTAATCTGAATTAGACTAATGGCTCAGGCTCTCTTCTTAGGATCTGGACCTTTGGTGTCATTACTGAGACTCCGCCACATTCTAGGCAAAAAATATGTTTCTTTTTCTGCTAAAATAACAGAAATCTATTTCATGTGGTTACTTTCCTTTTTTTGTAGTTTAGACATTTGGCCTCCTGTTTCCCAGAATGACCCAAGAATCCCGAATCTGCTTCCCAAGCTCTGCCCAGGGAGTGTGTCAGCACTGGAGAATGGAGTGAGGGGGTCTAGCTCAGCCCAGAGAAAGAGCCCAGGGCACAGGCTGAGTGGCGTGTGTGTGTGTGTGTGTGTGTGTGTGTGTCTGTGTGTGTGTGTGTGTGTGTGTGTGCTGGGGCAGCACTTCCTTCCTTCACACCAGGGAGACTCTGAGTTCCTGGGCACAGGCCTTGGGGACAGGCCCATGGCACACCCTCCTGGAAGCCCAGCCTTTCTCTGCTCAGCAGGGAGCCACCCACAGCCACAGAAAGAAAGAGGATATTTGCATGAGGAGTCCCCCTTCCTCAGGATAAGAGAGGCCTGGGGGCCCTCCCAGCTATGGGCTCAGAGGCAGAGCTCTGGGGTGTCTCCACCATGGCCTGGACCCCTCTTCTGCTCCCCCTCCTGACTCTCTGCACAGGTGCTGCCCCCAGGGCTCAGCCCCACACAACCAGGGACCAGCCTGGCCTGGCCTTCAGCTCAGCACAGGGGGTGCTACAGGGTGTGGGGCCCTCTGGGAAGGAGACCCTCAGCCTCAGGCTCACCTCTCCTGTCCTCTCTTGCAGGCTCTGTGGCCTCCTCTGCCTTGAATCAGCCACCTTCAGTGTCTGTGGCCCTGGGACAGACAGTCAGGATCACCTGCCAGGGAGGAGGCTTAGGAAGCTATTATTCTCACTGGTACCAGCAGAAGCCAGGCCAGCGCCCTGCACTGTTCATCTATGGTGATAGCAGCCGGGCCTCAGGGGTCCCTGACCGATTCTCCGGCTCCCGCTCTGGTGGAACGGCCACCCTGACCATCACTGGGGCCCAGGCTGAAGACGAGGCTGACTATTTCTGTCAGTCATGGGACAGCAGTGGTACTAGTGCCACAGTGACACAGGCAGATGGGGAAGTGAGACACAAACCCCCTTCCATGTCTCGGTCTCACTCTCCCTGCAGACCCAGGAGGACTGGGGACATAGCAGGGCTGGCCCATGTCACCTGGAGCTGAGCCCCCCATGCTGTCCTCTCCTCCCAGCCCTCCAGGTGGGATCTGCAGAGGGAGTGTGGGGAGTGCACTTGGGGCTGCAGGACCAGACTATCCTGTGTGGGATTATGGTCAACTGTCTTGAGATGCAGAAAAGTGACTGAAGTGAGAGGACAGACATACGGAAATATTTGTCCACTTACTGACCCGGGTTTCTGTGGAGGTCACTGGGCCTTTCTTTGGTTCAAATATCCAGGACTAATTCCTAGCCCTGTCCAGCTGGCTGAAGTCCTGACAGAGCAGCCCCTTGGCATGATGGGATTCTCACAGAGCAAGCCTGTGCCGTGGGCCCTGTGGGATCTGCCCGGCCTCACTTCAGGGCTGAACCACTCACCTCTCCTGGGAGCTGTCACCCCTCAGAGCTGGACTCCCACCTCAAGTTCATGCCTCTACCCAGAGAGGTTGGTGTGATCACAGCCTGGGGCCAAGATCCCAGCCCTGCCTCCACATGGGGCACCTGGAATTCCCTTAGCTCCAGCGCTCCCTGGAGGGAAGGCTGAGTACCCCCATTGCACCCTTCTTGCAGGCCAGCACCTTCCCCGGCCCTGGGCGGCCTCCTCCTTCTATTCAGCTTGGCCTGAGCCTGCAGGTCTCCCCGGGAAAGTCAGCTTCAGGGAAGCCATCTGGGAACCAGCTGTCCCCACCGTGGGCTTTGGGACCTGTGGGAACCACTGTCCATCTGAGTGAGGGCTCTGGGTTTTCTCAGTGCGAATATACAATTGTCCCTTAATGTCATTTAGTTTCTTAAATTTTTCTTGGATAGAATAAGAACCTAACATCCCAGGAGCTGGAGGTTCTAAAAGCTGAGAGTCAGATGCAGACTGGAGGAGAATC